GAGACCCCATCTTGGATGCGTCCGTTTGAAATAGAACGAACGAATAGCGCAGCCCAGCGCGCGGTCTCAAACGGACAAATGTTCGAATTTCGTCTGTTTTCGATTCATTTCTGGCCCAAACTTACGTCGAGTTTGGGGTGAAAAGGACATCGCGCTGATGGGCTGGATGCACATCCTTATCTCCCGTGGCATGTCTGTCGGGGACACTAAAAGTCCATTCGCTTCCCACGCCTCCACCCGCTCTTCCCCGTCCCATCCCGCCGCCGGCGCCGCCATTATTTTTCGGCCGCCTCCTCACTGCTCACACCCCGGCCGTCCATACCATATCACGTTTCGACATGGCCGACATCACGCCCGCGCTTTCGTAGGAGTTTTAGCCGTCGCTTGGAGGAGATTTGGACATCGCCGTCGTAGCCGGTGGCAGAGGGGATACTACCGCCGGCGACGTTTATGCACCACGGTGACCACGTCAGCTTCCGGCGAGTGCTCCAGAGCGGCCAGTAGCCGGCCGCCAACCACCCCTACTGCATTGGGGTGATCATCGCGGCCTTTTTGCCACCACGACCGCAAAGTGTTTGACACTTTGCCCACAAAGGTATGGACAGTGGAGATGAATTTTTCTTTCATCACTTTATTTATTCATTGGACGATTCGTCCTCAGATGATGAAGATCTTGTGGTGGCTGCACTGGTCGTTCACGACCACATTGAACGGCAGCTTCCTCGGTACAGTGGGTCACTCTCTGGCCCGTGCTCCCAACCTGAACCGCAACAGGGAGCCTGCTCTATGCCGATTACTTTGCGAACACCCCGCTCTTCAAGCCGAATAAATTCCGTCGCCGTTTTCGTATGGCAAGGCATGTGTTCAATCGTATTTGAGAGGGAGTGGTTGCTTATGACCCATACTTCGAGTGCAAGACCGTGGTGGCAGTGTTTGGCCCTGAGTACTTGAGGCGGCCAAATGCCGCTGATACAGAGAAATTGTTGGCGACCAACGCAGCTAGAGGCTTTCCAGGCATACTTGGCAGCATAGATTGTATGCACTGGGAGTGGAAGAACTGTCCATTTGCTTGGCAGGGCCAGTACAAGGGGCATGTTAAAGCGTACACTGTCATATTAGAAGCGGTAGCTTCGCAAGATCTTTAGATATGACATTCTTTCTTCGGCATGGCAAGTTCTCACAATGATATCAACGTGTTGCAACGTTCTTCAGTCTTCGCAAGGCTTGCATAAGACCACTCCCCACCTGTCAACTTTGAGATCAACGGCCACCAGTACAACAAAGGATACTACCTAGCTGATGGTATATATTCTCAGTGGTCAACTTTTGTGAAGACAATCTCGAACCCCCAAGGTGAGAAGAGAAAGAGATTTGCTCAAATGCAAGAGAGTGCTAGAAAGGATGTGGAACGTGCTTTTGGTGTGCTTCAATCCCGATGGGGTATCGTTCGAAACCCTGCACTGACATGGGATGAAGGGAAGTTTTGGGAGGTGATGACTGCTTGTGTGATCATGCACAACATGATCGTCGAGGACGAGCGTGATAACAGCATCTTCGACCAAGGATTTGATTTTCAAGGTGAAAATGTTGAGCCCCTGCACCAAGAACCGGCCACGTTTGAATAGTTTGCCTAATTTCATCGTGAAATGTGTGATTGGCACTCATCTGGATTTCAAAATGACTTGGTTGAGTATGTATGGACTCACATTGGTAACCAATAGATGTATTGGTTCATTATGTTCATTCAAGACAATTTTGATATGGTTGTAAAACTATTTTATTAGAAAAAATTTTGATTGGGTTGTAAAACTATTTTTATTTTCAGACAATTAATATTTGAACGTGCAAACTTGTTTTAAACATTGAAATATGAATATATGAGATTTTTTGCCGTGGCGAACAGGATGAGGTCAAAGGATACGTCCGCGCGTTGCGCGCACGGCCATCGCATCCCAGGACATGTCCGGATACGATCACATTGCCTTACCCAAACAAACAAAATTCTGATAAAACGGACGTCTGTTTAGATTCATACGCCGGAGTTGGCCTAAATGCGTCGCCGTCTCGGGGAGAGGGGCGAGAGTTCCACGGCACTCTGGACGATTAGTTCAGGACATGTACGATGTTTCTGTGTCTGTTCAAAACAGAGTTTACTACGAATCGGCGTGGCTCTGCATTGACAAATGACAACCATTGTGGGATTCGAACTTCTGCGCAACTTGGTTGCAAGGACATCTCCAATGCCGTCCGCATCCATCCGAAGCGTGCGGTCTGGACGTGTTTATTCGGACGTCCGGACCGCTGTCATGCTTGCTTTCGACAAGTCTCCTTCCTCGTCCATGTACTTTCCCGCCCGGTGTTAACTGCCGCATTCATGCTGCTTTAGAGTGGCCGTTCTACGTTGACGTCAACCCAGAACAGACGTGATCTCTCACTAGTGCCAGTATTGAAGCGGCTCGCAAGCCAAGGTTGCCATTCGCGCCACTTCTTACGTGCATGTTTAATGCCTGAGAGATGTTTATTGGACAGGACAGGACGGATATCTACCCCGTCCGTTCAATGTCCATCCGTCCGTCTCCCGCCTTTAAACAGGCTCGCCGGCCGAGAAACCAACTCCAGCGTCTGCATTGACGCATCCGAACGCTTAGCCTCACCGAAACAGCTATTTAAAGGCAGCCACACCAAGCTCACAACGCATCACAACACATCCGCTCCACATCCTCTTTCATCATATCCGCCATGATCGCAAACAGGAACGTGTTGTGGAAGAGCCCGTCAACGGAGCAGAAGCACGAGATGGCCATCCTTACGGCCGCCTGACAGAGCCGTCGTGCCATGAGGATCCAAGTGGGCATGCCAGCTAGCTTGACCGAGGTCTCCGAAATGACTCCGGGATAGAGCCGTGCTCTGACGACGACTCCGCACCAGAGCCCGCGCTTGTGCATGTTGGCTTGATCATGAAGCAAGCACATGCGCACTTCAACGTCGCCATGGCGGAGAAGCAGCTTGTGTAGGTACCTATGTCGGTGTTTCGGCGGGTGTAGGGGAAGCAGCGGTACAACATGTTCCTCCTCAAATAGCATCGGCTGGCGAAGAACCAATCTACAACGTGTTGCCGAGCAGCTAGCGCTCTATGAGGCCTCGCATGTTCAAGCTACCGCTCGCAACACGGAGGTGTCGCAGCCGGACGTGGAGGCGGCGCTGGCGATGGAGGACGAGAAAGCCGACATCGCACTGTGCATCGCCTCGTGTGTTTGACCCCTTCTAGTGACGAACAGCGCGTAATCTATATCTCGCTTAAACAAGATGTATGATCCCCTCGCCTGAATTTTTCCTCCACGTGCTGCAAAACTGGGCATGCCCATTTTCACGCCTTCCTTTGCTCCCCCACTGTCGCTTGCCACATTCCGTGTGTTGCGGCCAATGGACGAGCGCCGCATAGCAGTTCCCCCAAATGGGTCAGCCCTGATGGTGATGCACGCAAACAGTGATGTGAGTCAGCGTTCGAACTCTGGGCCTCCTGCTGGTGAGCACCCTTCACAAGCCACAACGCCTGACAGGCTTCGATTTCTTAAATCGATAGCGCGGAGTATAAGAACTATAATCAACGACAAATTTATTTATTTTCAAATTTCAAACGTGATTTATTTTTGAAAAAGTGAATATTTTATAAACACGGACATCTTTTTAGAAAACATAGATAATTTTTTTAACACATGAACATTTTTTGAAGTTCCAAACTTTTTTTTCAAAAAATACATCTTTTATGAACAAAATTTGATAACGGGAACATGTTTTAAAATTCTGAACAATTTTTCAAAATCTCAAACATTTTTCGAAATTCCTGAACATATTTTGAAAATGGGAACATTTATTTAGTTTGTGAGAAATATTGATAACAGGAATCTTTTTTGACGTTATGAACAATCTTTGAAAAACACGTCATTTTTTAAAATTCCCAAACAGTTTTTTAGAAAAATGCAAACAATATTTGGAAACACAGCTTTTTTTTGAAATTTCCAAACATTTTAAAAAAATGGCAACCTTTTCTGGAAAAGAAAAAAAACAAAAAAAATCAAAACGGATGGGGTAGTACCTGCGTTATCTACACAATGGGCCGGCCATTGCACCGCCCGGCTGTTCGCCTGGTGCGAATCGTCGGCAGTTTGGGGGAAGAATGGCAGCAGCGATTGAAAATGGAATACTACGAGTCGAAATGGAAAATGCAAATGGTAACCAAGCTCCTGGGGATTGGTGTTTGAATAAAAACAAATTTCATATTTAAATTTTTTAAAAATATATAAAAAAATCCATGGAAACTTATACGTGTTGAACATGAACGCGTGAAAAAACGTTTGAAAATATTGTGATTTGTAGGTTGTACAAAATAAACAAAATTCCGGCCCAACAACAAAAACAACCAGCACATTTTAGAAATGTGTATTTGTCTTTTTTTTTGCACACCACGTGTGAAAGTGTACTGTTATGAAATTTTGCAGATACATAATATATGTGTATGAGTGTTCACAAAAAATTACGATTTTTCACACTGTAGAAAATTGTATTTTGAAACTGAGCTCCTTGTAGCTCGGTCTCCAAAAGCTCGCACTCGAGTCGAAGTGCATACATTGATACATATAGGCTGTGTGATGACCTTTGGGGGAGAATCGTTCTACTGTGAGCTACATGAGCTTGGTTTCTACTCCCTCCGTTCTGAATTATTTATCGCAGGTATGGATGTATCTAGATATATTTTAGTTCTAGATACATCCATTTCTGTGACGAGTAATTTGGAACGGAGGGAGTATAGAAACAATCAAGTGAAGTGCCCCGCCCAAAAAAAGAGAGAGTAAAGTGAATGAAAGTATGAAGACCACTATACCACACAGACCATACAAGCACGAGAAAAAAGGAAAAACCTGGGCTGCGCTACGGCTATCTACAGTTTCCTCTGCAGTCTCTTCGTGTCTGCATTATCCTCACTTCGGTGCCTTCACCGGTCAGGGGCGGTCCGATATGGCGGTGAAGGTGATGGAGGTGCGGGTGGTGTTGCCGGTGGACGACGACGACGACGGCGAGGAGCGCGCCACGATGGAGGTCAGCAGCGACGACGACGTGGCCTTGCTCCTCAGCTTCAGGTCCCTGAAGTCCCGGATCACGTCGGGCTTGGTGATCTCATGCAACTCCACGTCCTCCTCGCCCTTCAACATCCGGGTCACCGTCGACATGTCGGGCCGCCGTTTCGTCACGTTCTTGGTGCACAGGAGGCCCACCTTCAGGAACCTGCACGCCTCATCCACGTCCAGGTCGTCGCCCAAGGAGCTGTCGATGATCTCGTCCAGCTGCCCCTGGTCGTAGTATGCCCACGTCTGCAGAGGAAGAAAGGAACAGTAATCTCTTGGTAATACAGTGATAGTATAGCACTAAGTAAACAGGCCTACGATGAACAATTTAGAACAGGGTCCTGTACCTACCTTCTCAAGAAGAATCTGATCTTCGTAGGGTAGTTTTGTATCAGTGTTGCATCTTCCGCTGACTATTTCTATCAGCAGAACGCCGAAGCTGTAAACATCTGATTTCCGGGTCACCTGTCCTCGGATGGCGTATTCGGGAGCCAAGTAACCTCTGCAGGCAAAAACTACAGTGAGCAAAAGCAACAGAGGAGATATCTAATTAACTATATCATATTGCGGTTTTTTTTCACTTTTCCCAATCTTAATGTGCTTATGCAGCCCTAACCATGGAGATCAGGCAAGCTAGCATTTTAGTATATTGAGAAAACACAAGTAAACATATAGCAAAGCAGACAGGTTCGATTAACTAGTTTACACTTACAGCGTTCCTGCGACTCTTGTGCTAATATGTGATACATCTGAAGGTAGAAGCTTCGCTAAGCCGAAATCGGAAATTTTCGGGGTAAGATCCTGATCCAGAAGTATATTGCTAGCTTTGATGTCCCGGTGGACAACATGAGGTCGGACACCGTCATGGAGGTATGCTAGTCCCTGGGCAACACCAATGCAAATATTCACTCGAGTTCTCCAGTTAAACTGGATGCTGTTATGCTGCTGAGAACCTGAAAAATGGCAAGGACCAAGAAGGATTACGGCATCTGAAATTTTTCTAGGAGCAAAAGAATACAGAGGTTCAGCAATCATAATCTACCTAGAAGGGTTTGTGCAAGGCTATTATTTTCAAGATAATTATAGACAAGGATCTTGTGGCTTCCTTCCACACAACAGCCATAAAGCTTGACAAGATTCTCATGGGAAATATCAGAGATCGTAATAAGTTCACTAAGAAATTCCCTCGCGCCTTGCCTAGACTGCAAAGAGAGCACCTTTACTGCAACGGCTGTTCCATCCCTGAGTGTTCCCTGAAATGGCAAGTAAGCGATTTTAAAACACTTGCAATAATTAAGGTCCAGCATCGAATACAAAATAAATAGGGTATTACCTTATAAACTGGTCCATAACCTCCCTCACCAATCTTATTGGATTGGTCAAATCTTGCAGTTGCCCTATCCAACTCTTTATAGCTAAATCTTGTTATGTTCTCAACACCCGGGAGGTCTGCAAAAGACTAAATGTAAGTGAAAACGAAGGCAGAATGGCGAGGAGGTGACAAAGTGATATCATATTCTGAATAGCGATTTTCAACAAAACTGTAGGTATAAGAGCTCATACCCTCATTGAGTGGACCAGTTTGTTGCTGACCCCCACTCGTCCTTTTGAAAATGCGAGAAAAACAACTCATTATCAAGTTGTTTCAATTCTCGATCCACAATACAAACCTCTGTACTGTGGTTCACTTGGTAGATATATCAATTAAATATCGATCTAACCACAGGCATTTCATCCTTCATGTTCAATAACAGCAATCATCAGCCTTCAACAACAGTGATTATATCCTGAAACAGAAGAACATGAACACAGGTTCCGGTTACGTGTTACCTGACAGAAGAAGCATGTGCAATGTATAACATGTCCAATTCAAGATTTCCTTTTTAGATAGAAATACTTTCTCCTAGTCAAAATACATGTTATTCAGATCCATGTGAGTCAAACATTTTTAGGTTTGACTATCAATGTAGAAATAATTACGAACATTGCAGCATCACATTGATAAGATCCATTGTGAAAGACAACACATTTTTCAAAGAAATTCAGAATGTCACGTTGGAGACCACGCCAATGTTCACATTGACATGTATTTTGACTGGGATATTCAGTATGCACAAGATGGCAAGAATTTTGACTGCAAATAGTTAATGCATTTCGGTCATAATAATAGTTGAAACACAGAATTCAAGTTCAAATACTGCTCGGGTAGTTTGCTGACATAGTAACTGAGAGTCTTTAGTTAGATTCACAAGGTTCAGAAACACTAACAGGTAACAGCTCATGAATTATGGGCTAAATTTAACAGTGGAGGAGAAAAAAAGGTTCCGAAGAGAAATGCTCCAGATTTGTCGGTGCTCTTAGAAACTTCCATCATAACAGCAAAGCCACTTAAGCATTTCACCTCGATTCAAACTTGAATGTTTCTAGAGTTTTACCCATCAGAAACAGTATTGACAGCTTTGCATAGGCAGTGGAGTTTTAACTAACAACCAACTATCTCTGATTTGGTAGGTTGCAACTGACATGTAGTATATGATGCCATGCATAATCAAAGGAAGTAGCCCTTAGGCCGTTAGGCCACCACACCTTTTTTTCTAATCCAAATGGTCTCTTTGATTGACCAGTTATACCTTTCTTGGATAAGCATCGATGTCATGATCGACCCCTACAAATATCTTATGAACTTGAGGACAAAACCAAAAACCGCATACATGTTTCTTTCCATGGAAATAAACAACGAGTGAGATCACGAGAAGACGCGCCACTAGACCTCAACAGTAAACAAAGACGATATTGTGCATCCAGACCACGTCATGGCTTTCTTCTTCTTAATCTTAAGCAGAAGGGTGGTTGCAGCGGGCACATGGTATTGGACAGGCCATGTGTGGGCTGTCATCTAAATGGTTTCTGAAGGCTAGCTAGCAATGCAAGATTGGCCGGGTCAATCAATTTGCAGACACCGTGTCTGTCGCCAGTCCTGTAGCATTCAGTGTCTGGCATTTCTGCACTCCCACGGATCCTCGCACCCTATCGCGATCCAACAGGAACTTCCAGTAATTGCGCGTTACTGAAGTACAGGGTGTAGATATGGTTACTGAAACTCTATAATTACGTTGTGGATTCACCCACAAGCATGCAATTCAAGCAAGGGCTATAGTCAGAGTTAGGACGATTACTAGATGGCATGTTTCCACAGCTATTTTCTCTCATCAGATCGCGAACTGTTGACTCTCTACAGTCCCCTTCTCCCAGTAATTTCAGAAACGGAGCGACCAGAGAGCAAGGGAAGGGAAGACATATCGAAATTAGATGATCCATGAAAAGCAGCGAGGCTCACCTGAACCGCGGCAGGGGAGGGAGGGCCGAAACCGGCGGCCTCGGCGACGCGCGGCCCCCGACGGGGGGTTCCACTCCACCGGCGCGCCGACGGAAATGATAACCCGCGGAACAGCCGCCCGACGCGGAGGTACTCCGGCCCGCGGCGGATCACAGGGAGCAGGCAGCTCTCCGGAGCCTGCACAGCTCCGGTAGCTGTCGGCGGTGCGCGCACGGCGGCGAGGCGAGGGCGAGCGGAGGGGAGGGGATTGAAACGGCGGCCTGGAGTCGAGAGTTTGTGGCTTGTCTCCAATGCGAAAGCGAGAAACGAGGGAGAAGAAAGGGAGGCCATGTCTTTTAACTGACCGAGCCGTGGCGCAGTCAACATCGTTGACTTCTTAAGCCGCCCTGGTGGCCCGGACCGTGTGGAGGGCCGGGCTTTGGGCTTTGGGCTTGGGCCGGCGCGTGTGGCGGGGTTGGTTGCGGCGTGACGAGGCTGGGGTGGGTTGACGCGGCTGTTGACCTAGGCAACGAGATCCGGTTTACGCGCGCCTGGTTTATTTTATTTTTATGCGCGCCTGTGCACTGCAGATCGATTATTTTTGCTGTCGCTGGCAAGTTGTTTCCTGACAGGACAGGCCACCAGTGGCCGATAAAGACAAGAAATGGTGAGGGGTTGTTAGACCAATGTATAGCTTCTGTACTATTGTACGTATTGTAACACATCCATTATATATAATGAGATAAGCCACCCCTAGAGGGTTGTGCTGGTTCCCTAAAACTTATTGTCTTACATGGTATCACCCTAGGTTACGATCGCTTCCGCTTCCAAACCCTAATACCCGCACCGCCGCCGCAGCCGCAGCCGCCGCCGCCTTCACCGCCGCCATGTCGAGCGCCGCCACCACCGGTTCCACTGCTGCGGGGTTCCTCCCGGCCTCTCTTGCGGCTCTGCTCAACCTCCCGCTCGATGTCGTCGCCGTTCCGGCTCCGATCGGGACCAGGAGCATCGGCTCCGTCTACTCCACGCCGCCGGCGCCCTTGCTTGGGCGCGACCTCGTGGTCCACACCGCGGCGCCGCCGTCCGCTGCGGACTCCGCGGGCGTCGTCCCGCCGCTCCTGCCGCAAGCGGATCACACCGCCCCGCTGGCGGGGTTGGCGGCGTCCGCCCCGGCCGCGGGTCTTGCGACGTCTGACCCGGCCGCGAGCTTTGCGGCGTCCGCCCTGGCTGCGGTCCCGCCTCCTCCCGCATCGGCTTCGGTGCCTCCGGCTGCCTCCATGGTGTTTGCACCCCAGGCAGCCCCCTTGATGGGATCGTCTTCGCCGCCGTCGTTTCACTTCGGTCATCTCATCACCATCAAGCTCTCCGCCGACAACTACATCTTCTGGCGTGCGCAGGTTCTCCCGCTCTTGGGGAGTCACTACCTGCTAGGCTACGTTGACGGATCGCTTCCCTGCCCACCCGCACTGGTAGACAGCGTGCACGGTCCGGTCTACAATCCGGCCCATCGCGTCTGGACGGGGCAGGACCAGGCGAACCTCTCCTCCATCCAGGGGTCGCTCTCGCCGCAGTTGCCGGACTTGTTGTCTTCGCGAAGACGTCTCATGAGGCCTGGACCATACTTGAGCGAACTTTGCAGCGCAGTCCCAGGCTCGTGTCTCTGCACTCCGTCATCAGCTTGGAGAGTGTCAGAAGCTTGACTCCACTGCCACTGAGTTCTACAACAAGGTCAAGGGCCTCACCGACACATTGGCCTCCATTGGACAGCCCCTCACCGACTCCGAGTTCAACTCGTTTATTGTCAATGGTCTTGATGAGGAGTATGATGCCTTAGTCGAGATCATCAACGAGCGGGGCAACTCGACACCCATGCTGGCACACGAGGTTTTCTCTCGGCTCCTTCTCACTGAGCAACGGGTCGAGACACGCCGCTCCAGGGGCACTGGCTCCCTCTCGGCCAACGCCGCCACCAACGGTGGCCGCTCTTCTTCATCACCCCGGTCTCCCTTGGGGCTGCCACCGTCGCCCGCCTCGGCCCCCCCACCTACTGCGACCTTACCGGGGGCTGGCGGTCCACGTGTGTGCCAGCTTTGTGGCCGCGATGGGCACTGGGCCTCCAAGTGTCATAAGCGCTTCCAGCGAAGCTTCCTTGGTCTTGGCAATGACGGCAAAGATACACGCAACAATGCCCGTCAGGTCGCCATGGCTGATCGTCCCGCGCCGCAGAAGCAACAGGGACACACTCAGTCCTACTCCATCGATCCACACTGGTACATGGACTCTGGGGCGACAGAGCATCTGACCAGCGAGATGGGGAAGCTTCACACTCGTGAACCCTATCATGGCTCCGACAAGATCCACACCGCCAATGGAGCAGGTATGCACATCTCTCATATTGGTCAAGCATCTCTTCTCACTAGACATGCCAATAGGAATCTTCAGCTTCGCAATGTTCTTCGAGTTCCATCTGTGACCCGTAATCTTCTTTCAGTTCCTAAACTCACACGTGATAATAATGTGCTTTGTGAATTTCACCCTTTTGATCTTTTTATTAAGGATCGGGGCACGAGGGACATTCTTCTTAGTGGGCGGTTGTGCCAGGGCCTCTACCGTCTGGAGCATCCTGGCGTCGCTCGCGTTTTCAGTGGAGTTCGGGTCTCTCCGTCACAGTGGCATGCTCGTCTTGGTCACCCGGCCACACCTATTGTCCGTCATATTTTGCATCGTCATGAGCTTCCTAGTTTGTCTAGTAATAAAGATGTAGCAGTGTGTGATGCTTGTCAGCAGGGGAAGAGTCATCAACTTCCTTTTTCGGAGTCCAGTCGTGAGGTGAAACATCCTTTAGAACTTGTGTTTTCAGATGTATGGGGTCCTGCTCAGACTTCTGTCAGTGGTCATAATTACTATATCAGTTTCGTTGATGCTTATAGTCGCTTTACCTGGCTTTACCTTATTAAACGCAAATCTGATGTGTTTGATATTTTTGTTCAGTTTCAAAAACATGTTGAACGTCTTCTCAAGCACAAAATTGTTCATGTCCAGTCGGACTGGGGGGGCGAATATCGCAACCTCAACTCCTTCTTTCAGTCGCTTGGGATAGCTCATCGTTTAGCATGTCCACATACACATCAGCAGAATGGTTCAGTCGAACGTAAGCATCGTCATATTGTTGAAGCTGGTCTTACTCTTTTGGCCCATGCATCTGTTCCGTTTCGATTTTGGAGTGATGCTTTCACCACTGCATGCTTTCTCATCAACCGTACTCCCACTCGTGTTTTAAACATGAAGACTCCCATTGAGGTTCTCCTTAATGAACAACCTGATTATACCTTTTTCAAGGTATTTGGGTGTGCTTGCTGGCCGCATCTTCGTCCATATAATAAGCGCAAGCTTGAGTTTCGTTCTAAGAAGTGTGTTTTTCTTGGCTATAGCTCTCTTCATAAAGGTTACAAATGTCTTCATGTTCCCACTAATCGTCTCTATATATCTCGGGACGTCGTGTTTGATGAGCATGTTTTTCCCTTTGCCAAACTTCCTGTGTCCACTGTCGAACCACCATCTCTGCATTCATCCTCTGTTGCTTCTGACCAATTTGATGATGTTGCATACTCTCCTTTGTTGTTACCTAACCATGGTGCAGGAACCGGACGTGGGGCTCGTTTGGAGCTGTTGGAGGATTCACCATCATCATCGCCGCCTTCTGATGGGCACGTCGATCGCCCTATGTTGCATGGCATCGATTCGCGTGCCCATGCATGGTCACCCGAAGAGCCCGTCGCGCCGAGCATCTCCACTGCTCGGTCCGCTACGCCAGCGACCGCCGAGTCTCCGGCGGCTCGGCCCTCTTCGCCAGCGACCGCCGAGTCTTCAGCGGCTCGTCCTGTCACGCCGTCTTCGCCTGCAGCTCGGGTCCGCGACGCCGTCCTCACGTCGCCTTCATCCGCGGATCGGCCCGCGACACCGGCCGCGCCACGGCCCACTATGCCGGGCTCGCCATCGGCCCGGTCTGTGACGCCGGCGTCGCCAGTTGCTTCGTCTGCTCTGCCGGTTTCGCCGGTGGGCCGGCCTTCTTTGCCGACCGAGCCCGAGGCTACTGTGTCTGGCTCCTCGTCACCGGCTGACTCGTCAACGTCACCGTCCTCCAGCCCATTGCAGGCTGCTCCGTCGACCTCGATGGTTCCTGTGTCCCGACCACATACACGCAGTCGCAGTGGCATTTTCAAACCTAAGGAACGTAAGGATGGTACGGTTGCTTGGTTGGCTGCTTGTTTGGCTGCTGCTGTTGCGGATCCATCTTCTGAGCCTCGCTCATATCAGGCTACCCTACGCATTCCACATTGGCGAGAGGCTATGGAGCAGGAGTTTTATGCTCTCCTTCGTAACAAGACATGGACTCTCGTTCCTCCACCACCACGGGTAAATGTTATTGACTCAAAATGGGTATTCAAAGTGAAGAAGCATTCGGATGGATCTATTGAGCGTTACAAAGCGCGACTTGTTGCTCGCGGTTTTCGGCAGCGCCATGGTCTTGACTATGAGGACACCTTCAGTCCTGGCGTCAAGCCTACCACTATTCGGCTTCTTCTCTCCATTGCTGTTTCTCGTGGTTGGTCACTTCGTCAACTTGATGTGCAGAATGCTTTTCTACATGGATTTTTGGAGGAAGAGGTTTATATGAAACAGCTGCCTGGTTTCTCTGATCCTGATCGTCCTGACTATATCTGTCGTCTCTCCAAAGCACTATATGGTTTGAAGCAAGCTCCTCGTGCCTGGCATGCCCGCCTTGCCTCTGCCCTTCGTGCTCATGGGTTTGTGCCGTCCACTGCTGACACTTCATTATTTCTTCTACAGAAGCCAGAAGTCACTATGTATCTTTTGGTAATATGTCGATGATATTATCCTTGTCAGCTCTTCTCAGTATGCTGCTAATGCTCTTGTCTGCTCTCTTGGTGCTGATTTTGCGATCAAAGATCTTGGGAAGCTTCACTACTTTCTTGGAGTTGAGGTCACTTCTCGTGCTACTGGTCTTGTCCTTACGCAGAAGAAGTACTCCTTGGAGTTGTTACAAAGAGCGGGCATGCTGAAGTGCAAACCGACCACCACACCCATGTCGTCTACCGACAAGATAACAGCTGTTGATGGTGAGCTTTTGTCTCCTGCGGATGCCACAGAGTACAGGAGCATTGTTGGTGGACTTCAGTACTTGACGATCACGAGACCAGATATCTCTTATGATGTTAACAGGGTTTGTCAGTATCTTCAGGCTCCCAGAGATACTCATTGGGCTGCTGTTAAACGCATTCTTCGTTATGTTCAGTTCACCCTGACATTTGGTATGCATATTCGGCCGA